GTCCCCTCTTGGAGACTCATAGTGAATGTCAGGATTTTTAAGGCTTTCAGAAGTCTTGAAGCGAAGAGACTGTTTAACTTTGTTTAACATTTCAGAGGAGTAGAGTTCCAAGGAACATGTTTGGGAAAGGCAGCCGAACACTGTACCGCGTATTTCTGTGTTATGTTTTACTGCACTGGCTGCAACATCTAGACAACGGTAAATGATACTGGTGGGAGTGGGTATTTTATTCCCCGGCCCTTTCCCTTTGATTTAATGAGAATGTTTCCAGAATTTCATCACTAAGTATTGTGTTGCCAATGAGTTTAAGGCAGATAGCATCTTCATTACCTTTATTCCAATGTAAAGAATCAGAGATGGATGTTGAATACGAGGGAATCATACAAAGGGGGCTGTTCAGTGTCTGTTCACCAGGTGTCTGATGGACAGGGCTCCCTTCCTGGAGTTCCTGGAGTAATAAGACAGCCCCTGCCTGGGCTGGGGGAAGACACACGCATTTTCTGCCCGGGGCAGCACGTGGGTTTGTCACCTTTACCGTGGGCTGCAAAAGCAGGGGTGTGGGGTGGGGAGCACCTGCCTTGCTGAGTCAGCACACGTTTTCTTTCTTTTTTTTTTAGCACACTTTTTTTTTTCTCTTTATTTTATTTTTTTTTTCCATTTATTTTTATTAGTTGGAGGCTAATTACTTTACATCATTGCAGTGGTTTTTGTCGTACATTGAAATGAATTAGCCATGGATTTACATGTATTCCCCATCCCAGTCCCCCCTCCCACCTCCCTCTCTGCCCTATCCCTCTGGGTCTTCCCAGTGCACCAAGTCCGAGCACTTGTCTCATGCACCCAACCTGGGCTGGCGATCTGTTTCACCCTAGATAATATACATGTTTCGATGCTGTTCTCTTGAAACATCCCACCCTCGCCTCCTCCCACAGAGTCCACAAGTCTGTTCTATACATCTGAGTCTCTTTTTCTGCTTTGCATATAGGGTTATTGTTACCATCTTTCTAAATACCATATATATGTGTTAGTATACTGTAATGGTCTTTATCTTTCTGGCTTACTTCGCTCTGTATAATGGGCTCCAGTTTCATCCATCTCATTAGAACTGATTCAAATGAATTCTTTTTAATGGCTGAGTAATATTCCATGGTGTATATGTACCACAGCTTCCTCATCCATTCGTCTGCTGATGGGCATCTACGTTGCTTCCATGTCCTGGCTATTGTAAACAGTGCTGCGATGAACATTGGGGTGCATGTGTCTCTTTCAGATCTGGTTTCCTCGGTGTGTATGCCCAGAAGTGGGATTGCTGGGTCATATGGCAGTTCTATTTCCAGCTTTTTAAGAAATCTCCACACTGTTTTCCATAGCGGCTGTACTAGTTTGCATTCCCACCAACAGTGTAAGAGGGTTCCCTTTTCTCCACACCCTCTCCAGCATTTATTGCTTGTAGACTTCTGGATAGCAGCCATCATGACTGGCGTGTAATGGTACCTCATTGTGGTTTTGATTTGCATTTCTCTGATAATGAGTGATGTTGAGCATCTTTTCATGTGTTTTTGTGCCATCTGTATGTCTTCCTTGGAGAAATGTCTATTTAGTTCTTTGGCCCATTTTTTGATTGGGTCATTTATTTTTATGGAGTTGAGCTGGAGGAGTTGCTTGTATATTTTTGAGATTAATCCTTTGTCTGTTGCTTCGTTTGCTATTATTTTCTCCCAATCTGAGGGCTGTCTTTTCACCTTGCTTATAGTTTCCTTTGTTGTGCAAAAGCTTTTAAGTTTCATTAGGTCCCATTTGTTTATTTTTGCTTTTGTTTCTAAAATTCTGGGAGGTGGGTCACAGAGGATCCCGCTGTGATTTTTGTCAGAGAGTGTTTTGCCTATGTTCTCCTCTAGGAGTTTTATAGTTTCTGGTCTTACATTTAGATCTTTAATCCATTTTGAGTTTATTTTTGTGTATGGTGTTAGAAAGTTTCATTCTTTTACAGGTGGTTGACCAGTTTTCCCAGCACCACTTGTTAAAGAGGTTGTCTTTTTTCCATTGTATATCCTTGCCTCCTTTGTGACCATAGGTTCGTGGATTTATCTCTGGGCTTTCTATTCTGTTCCATTGATCTATATTTCTGTCTTTGTGCCAGTACCAAACTGTCTTGATGACTGTGGCTTTGTAGTATAGTCTGAAGTCAGGCAGGTTGATTCCTCCATTTCCATTCTTCTTTCTCAAGGTTACTTTGGCTACTCGAGGTTTTTTGTATTTCCATACAAATTGTGAAATTATTTGTTCTAGTTCTGTGAAAAATACCGTTGGTAGTTTGATAGGGATTGCATTGAATCTATAGATTGCTTTGGGTAGTATAGCCATTTTGACAATATTGATTCTTCCAGTCCATGAACACGGTATATTTCTCCATCTGTTTGTGTCCTCTTTGATTTCTTTCATCAGTGTTTTATAGTTTTCTATGTATAGGTCTTTTGTTTCTTTAGGTAGATATACTCCTAAGTATTTTATTCTTTTTGTTGCAATGGTGAATGGTATTGTTTCCTTAATTTCTATTTCTGTTTTCTCATTGTTAGTGTATAAGAATGCAAGAGATTTCTGCGTGTTAATTTTATATCCTGCAACTTTACTGTATTCGTTGATTAGCTCTAGTAATTTTCTGGTAGAGTCTTTAGGATTTTCTATGTAGAGGATCATGTCATCTGCAAACAGCGAGAGTTTCACTTCTTCTTTTCCTATCTGGATTCCTTTTACTTCTTTTTCTGCCCTGATTGCTGTGGCCAACACTTCCAAAACTATGTTGAATAGTAGTGGTGAGAGTGGGCACCCTTGTCTTGTTCCTGATTTAGGGGAAATGCTTTCAATTTTTCACCATTGAGGGTGATGCTTGCTGTGGGTTTGTCATATATAGCTTTTATTATGTTGAGGTATGTTCCTTCTATTCCTGCTTTCTGGAGAGTTTTAATCATAAATGGATGTTGAATTTTGTCAAAGGCTTTTTCTGCATCTATTGAGATAATCATATGGTTTTTATCTTTCAATTTGTTAATGTGGTATATTACATTGATTGATTTGCGGATATTAAAGAATCCTTGCATTCCTGGGATAAAGCCCACTTGGTCATGGTGTATGATTTTTTAATATGTTGTTGGATTCTGTTTGCTAGAATTTTGTTAAGGATTTTTGCATCTATGTTCATCAGTGATATTGGTCTGTAGTTTTCTTTTTTGGTGGCATCTTTGTCTGGTTTTGGAATTAGGGTGATGGTGGCCTCATAGAATGAGTTTGGAAGTTTACCTTCTTCTGCAGTTTTCTGGAATAGATTCAGTAAGATAGGTAGCACGCGTTTTCTTTCTTTTTTTTTAGCACACATTTTCCGAGTGTGCTCCTTAAGTGTTGGGCGCAGCTGGGTCCCCATCTCTAAAGGCGACGTGTAGCCCAGGGGTGGGGTGGGGACAGGTTAATACTGCTCGTGTGAGGCGGGGTGTGAAGAGCTGGCTCTGACGTGGGCTCTGCATGCCCCTGCCGAGGGGCCCGAAGCTGTGGGTGTCTTCCTCTCCTCCCCTCACCCCCCAGCTCTTTCCTCACCTTGGCTCCGGGCACTGGGACATGGATGAGCAGCTGTTCCCTGGAGGTCCCCAGGCTGCCCAACCCTGGCTCAGATGGGCATAAGAATCGAGGATGGAATCAGGGAGGTTTTGGCCACTTAGGACACAAGACTGTGCTTTTGCCTGGAGAGGACTTGGAGACGGGGTCCTCAGGGTGCTGGCAAGTGAGTAATTGTATTTAAGCTCTGGAAACTGCTTTTTCATCCCTAATCTCCCCATCTTCCAGCTTATGGGGTGGTAAGCAGCCCCAGTGTGCATAATGAATGCTGACATCATAGGTCTGGGCACGGAAAGCATCAGCTCATAAGCACTTTTATTAGCGACTTGCCCCAAGGCTGCATAGCCAGCCCTTCCAGCCCAACATTCTGTCTGGAACCGCAGTGTCTCGCTGGGCTTCTTCATCAGGGCCCACATCGTCACCCGCATACCCCTCCCCCTGGACTGTGGGGTGAGGTGCAGTCCCATCACATAGCCCTGATGCAGCGATGTGGACATGCGTCTTTCACCTTGGCTGTGATTAGGACGGTTTAGCTCACTCGTGTCCAACTCTTTGTGACCTCATGGACTGTAGCATACCAGGCCTCCCTGTCCATCACCAACTCTGGGAGCTTGCTCAAACTCATGTCCATTGAGTCAGTGATGCCATCCAACCATCTCATCCTCTGCCATCCCCATCTCCCGCCTTCAGTCTTTCCCAGCATCAGGGTCTTCTCCAACGAGTCAGCTCTTCGCATCAGGTGGCCAAAGTGTTGGAGTTTCAGCTTCAGCATCAGTCTTTCCAATGAACATTCAGTTTTCCAGAAACCCGGTGTCGTCCTGATCTAAGAGGGTGACAGCTCCTCGGGTCTGTGACAAAGCTGGATGGCTTCCACCTTTGCTCTTGCTCTTTGTCCCAGCCTGGGACCTGTGAAACTTTGGAGTTTTGTGTTTGAGTAAGTTGAAAGCTAGGTGAAGGAGGAAGGGCTGGTAGTTAGGGATGAAGTATTAATTCTTAGTCTTCATGGGTCTTTTTTTGGTGAAGTCAAAACATTTTCAAAGAGATGAGGATTGAAAACTAAGAATTTTCCTGTGAGTGGAGAAGCCCTCATTTCAGAGCCGATGGTAGTGAGAGCGCCAAAGTGATCCATTTCCACCATCAGCCTGGCTTCCCCTGGACCCTCAGGTTCACAGTGAAGAGCTGGAATGATGGTTGGAGTTTATGAAAGTGAGTCTTATGAAGTAATGATCACAACTTATCCAGCTAGCACTTAGAAACCAGGCAGGATATAAGTAGATTTGGTTTACTGAGGAATCAGCATAAATTCTCCTTTCTTCTCCATTCTACTTGGGACTTCTCGTTTCAAATGTTATCCGAAGTCTCTGCTTTGCAATTCTTAGGTTATAAAATGGTCTTTAGTCTTCATTCTGAGATGGGAAAATGTGTGCTCCAAGAGGCGTGGGTGGCCGAGGCCGGCGCAGAGCCTGGGGCGGCGGGTCCCCCCAGCGCTGCGCTCGATGCTGCCGAGCAGAGTCCTGGCCCCTCCTTTGCTCCTCCAGCGGCAGACCCCTGGTGGGGGCGAGGGGCCAGGCGGGAGGGACACCCCAGCTGGAGCACTCCAGTTCTGTCCGCCCTGTCTGGCCACTGACGACACGGCTACGACGTTTGTCCAGCACGATCTGTGTTCTCCTGGCCTCGTTTTTACTTTGCATCCCCCCAGGCAGAAGCACCTCACTTCAGCATGCTTGTGTGTTTTTCTTACTTTGATTTTGAGTGAACACCAGGTCTTCAAGGCTGTTATTCCAAGGCCCAGAACTGCCCTCCTTGCTTTGTTTTTAATAGCTTGCTGAAAGTTTGCTAAACTCCTTACGCTTAAAAGAATTCCCTTTGTCTGGGGACAAAGAAAAGAAAATCCAAACAAACAAAAAAAAATCAAAGGTTTCCTGCTTTTCTGGGTTATCACCATTTGAACCTGAAAATAAGATTTTCAAATACTTTCTGTTTTGAATGAAACTCCGACAAATGGTCCTCTGGCCATGGCCTGCCCTGGTGCAGGGGAGGGGGCCCGAGGAGAACTCACGCAAGGCCTGTGACGTGCCCGCCCCTCTGCCTGCCTCCCAGCCTGGCGTGGCCCCAACCTGGAGGGGGGGTGGTGCTGTCCTCTTTCTCTAAGGCTGTGTCTCAGGTTTCCTGGTGTCCTTTCCAGTGAGGGCCACTCAGCAGATGATGGTGATGAGGGGCCTCCGAGCTGAAACTGAGCTCCTGCTCCCAGGGGTGGGGGTGAGGGTGGTGGGGGGACCGCCTGGACAGGGATCTTCCAGATCACATTGACTTGGTTCCTGAAATGGGGAGCATTTTATTTTCACAGTTCCTTTTCCCGTGCCCTTTCTCGGAGTGACGTCTTTTTCCAGGTTGCATTGTTGTAGACCAGGTTATCTGCAGGGCAGTGGGACCCGGGTTGTTTGCATTTCCTAAAATTGTGCTTTGCCCTGAATGTGGCAGAGAGATTGTCCGCCGCGGCTGTGAAACAGGGCGGCTGGGAGGCAGCCGCACGGCCGCCCCTCCTGTTTCCGCTGCTCCCAGGGGCCTCACGGATCCGTGGCGTCCAGAGCCCTCAAATCCGCGGCAAGAGCCCCTGGACTTCCGAAGCTCCCGGCCGGCTTTGTGGAGTTCAGAACCGCCTTGTTTTCCGAGATCATTTTCCCCCGGCTTTCCAGGAGGAATCATTTTCCAGACCCAGCGTGAGCTGACTTGCAGTCGGAGATGCAGCCTGGTACCTCCAGATACAGGTCCAGATGTCTGCGGTTCGTGGGGAGGAGATAGAAGCGTGCTGGCTTTGCTGGGTGCCCTGTTGTTGTTTTGCTCTTCAGAAAGAGGAAAAATCCACCAGAGTTGCCTAATTTCCTGCTTTAAACACTCGTACTTTAACGTTCATTTACATATGAAATTGAATCATGTGACAGCATGTGTGGGGAAATTTTGGCTGAAACCCATTTCCTTTGATCTGCACGTGCTGTGGATCCTGTAAGTGCTGTCACTTCTGAGGGGACAGGTTTAAAATCCTCCAGGGAGTGCACAGTTTAAAACACACTCCACTCAGTGAGCAACTTTGTAAACGGGCCCTAAATCTGGTTCAGAAAAGGATGCTATAAAAGTTTGTTTAGTTCCTTTATCTCTAAAATAAGGAAAAGACACTAAGTAAATCCACAGAATTATTTTGTTACCACCAAGAAAATAATTTAAGGCATAATAATTCCAGTATGTAACAATCGTTTCTATCTAATGCATTGTGGTACTTTGTGTGAGAATAAATGATCATTTGCTACTATGAAATTATATTACTGAGCCACTGCGAAGCAGGATTCTGTTTTACTATTTTTCATCTTTGTGATGCTGATGGATACTGCAGAACTTTCATATTTTCAACAAGTGCATATGGAACCCTCATCACGGGCCAGGAAACTTTCTAAGCGCTGTCGAGTCAGAGGTGAATGGGCCGGAGTGTTTGCTGCCTTACCCACATGGAAAATGCTGGGGGGAGTGTAAGGGGGTCACAGGAGAGACAGTGTTCGGGCCCGAATCACGCACCTCCAAAATCACACCTGGGTCTCAGCACCCAGGAGCCTGTGACTGTGTTTGGAGGTGGGGCCTTTACAGACATGGTGAAGTTAAAAGGAGGTCAGTAGGGCGGGCTCTGATCCCACAGGACCAGAGTCCTTGTGAGGAGTGAGACACACACAGGGGAGGACTGCAGGAGGTCACACGGAGAGGGTGGCACCTCCAAGCCCAGGCGAGAAGCTTCAGGAGGAACCAGGCCCTGGCAACACCTTGCTCCTGGATGTCCGGCCTCCAGGCCGTGAGGGACGAACGTGTGCGGCTTAAGCTGTCCCATCTGTGGTCCTTGGTCAGGGCGGCCAGAGCTGACCTTACAGCCTGGAAGCTCCCACGTGAGCCAGAGAGGCAGATGGTGCCTCAGGACAATGGTCCTCTCCTTTGGGGCGAACATGGCGATGTTCCCCTAGCAAGAGCTGAGGAAGGGCTCGGCCTGCCCGCAGGCCCAGGACAAAGCGGGGACACCTCACTGCTGTCTCCCAGCACTCTCCTAGTGTTGTTACTGCAAAGCATCTGAGGCCCGAGAGGGAGTGCTGAGCACTGGGGGGAGGCAGCTTCTTAGGAGGGTTGCTGTTCATGCATCTCTCTTCTCAGGAAGAAGCTGACATCCTGCTTTGGCCTCATTTTTGTCTCTGTTAAGTAGATAAATGTGGTTTGCATCACTCAGAACCTTGGGAATGTCTTACAGGATATTTCTGGAATGGGCAAAGTTCAGCACAGCCTGGAGCCAAAATGTCCCTGTTACTGAGTCAGTATAGTCCACATGTTTATGACCGTCTCCAGAATGGCCTGCACGTGTGTGAGACTGATGGTGCAGTTCAGCACATCCCTGGGAACGAAGGAAGAGCGCCGAGAAGCAGGACTGGCCGGGGCTGCCCGCGGCGTCTTTTCTGTGTCAGAGCCTGCAGCTGTGGAGAAAGCCTGGAGCTTGATGAAGCTCTTCCTCTTCAAGGCACGAAGCCTCCTAAGCCAGGGCTGGAAGCCCCAAAGGGTGTGGGAAAGCCCCAGTGGCCTTTGAGGTCTTCGCCCTGGACTCCGCCTTTAGGACGAGCATCTCTGAAGTTTCTGAAGGGAGTCACCTATAGTGGAGCTCTCAAACTGTGGTCTGTGGCCCACTGGGGTCACTGGAACTCTTTCAGGGTCTTCGAGGTCCAAACTGCTTCCCTAATAATAATGTTCTTCATTTCCCTCTCCAGCACTCAGGCAGTAGGGTTTTCCAGAGGCTCTGAAGCACGTGGAGAGGGCACTGCCGTTGAATGTGAGCTTACTATCTCTGTGTTCCCTCAGGTGTTCTTAATAAGGAGGGTCGAGGTGCATATGTGGGCGTTTTCTGAGATTAATAGCTTTAAATACTTCTGTGTCCCTACTAGTTATCTTCGGTTATACCTACTATAAAACTTTTTTTTCAAATCTTACGTTCCCTTGGCTATCATTAGACTTATTTATGTTATGAAATGGGCTTCCCCAGGTAGCTCAGAGGTAAAGAATCCACTTGCAATGCAGGAGATGCAGGAGACGTGGGTTCGATCCCTGGACCGGGAAGATTCCCTGGAGGAGGGCTTGGCAACCCACTCTGGTATTCTTGCCGGGAGAGTCCCGTGGACAGAGGAGCCTGGCGGGCTACAGTCTAGAGGGTCACAAAGAGTTGGGCACGATTGAAGCAACTGAGCACACACGTGTTATGAAATACTATCTCCCCTAGAATCAGGGATTAGAGATAGCTTTTGTAATTTCTAGCGCTTCCAGGGTAGCTCAGATGGTAAAGGATCTGCCTGCAGTGTGGGAGACCTGAGTTTGATCCCTGGGTTGGGAAGATCCCCTGGAGAAGGGCATGGCAACCCACTCCAGTGTTCTTGCCTGGGAAATGCCATGGACAGAGGAGCCTGGCGGGCTACAGTGCAAAGAGTTGGACACAACTGAGTAATTAACTTTTGTAATTTCTACTATTCAGCATTTTACAACATGTCCTAAGGAAAAAGAAAGTAGAATTATTTATTTACAAATGAAATGCTTCTGTACATAGAAAATCCAAAAGATTCAACATTAAACAGCAGGACTTTTAGTATAAAAATAAGGGGAAATTTTTATTTACAGCAACAAACATTATAATATACCTATGGATAAGCAAATCAAGGTAAACTGTATTTAAAAAATAATAGTTTGTCAAAGAACAGAATGTAAAACCAAAATGTAAAAATGATTAATGAGGCAATAATGAATAAAGAAAGTGGTAATTCCTCCCACATCAGTACATACTTTTAACGCAGTTTTAAGCAAAATCTCATTAGCTATTTTTAACTAGACAAAATGTGTCTAACATTTGTATGGAAAAGTGAAGGTGTGAGATCTGATAAGATATTTTTGATAATGAAAATTAGTGACCAGGACTATATGTGTACATATTCTTAGAACTTACTGTGAAGCTACAGTGTGGAATGAGCATAAGATGGACAAATGCATTAATTTGATTATATACATGTTAACAAGCTTCATCTTTGAAGGGAAAAAACCTGAACAAAATTTTTAAAAAATTAATTATGCTGTTTTTGTTTAGTCACTAAGTCATGTCTTACTCTTTGTGACCCCATGGACTGTAGCCCACCAGGCTCCTCTGTTCATGAGATTTCCCTGCAAGAATGCTGGAGTGGGTAGCTGCTTCCTTCTCCAGGGGATCTTCCTGACTCAGAGATCAAATCCGTGGCTCCTGCATTGCAGGCAGATTCTTTACTGTCTGAGACACCTGGGAAGGCAGTATTGATTTTAACAGGGTAAAATCCTATGTTATTAAGAGAAAGAAAATGTATTTTTTAAAGGAACAAATTATGTAAATAAGCAGATCACTGAAGAGAAAAATATGAAAAACTATGCATACAAGTGTTCACTGTCACTTTGGCGACCCCTCGGGCGGTAGCACACCAGGCTCCTCCGTCCATGGGATTCTCTAGGCAAGAATACTGGAGTGGGTTGCCATTTCCTTCCCCAAATACACAATGTAACATTTGGCAAAAGAAAAGTAATTTCAAGTTTCTTATGCAGAAACACAACAAAAAGTAAGCATGCTTTTTTGACTTATTTCAGTTAATATCTCAACTTTATGGAAAGACATTTTATAATTTAACTTATAAATTTTATAACTGTCTAAAACTGTTACTCTTTTAGAATTGAGCACTTACTCTAAAATAGAATGAAACTTATTTGTGGCCTATTTTCTCATATTTAAGGATGAGTCGTTAGCTTTCAAATGGGAGCTTAGAAGGCTTGCATTCTCCATCCACAGCCGCACTGTCTGGGTAGAAATGTGCTGTGAAGGCTGAATGGATGCAGCAGGGTATTCTCTTGCTCCCTAAAGGAGCCATCTAATCCAAGGAAACTGTATGAGCTGTAAGTAAAAAAGTAGAAATACGATGATTAGCTCTATAGATTAATAGTTTACCCTCTTGTGTTTAATGCAACAGAAAAAGAATCAGATTACACTAAGGTGCCAGTTGAATTGTGACCATCAACTTTGGACTTATTCAGAATTTAAAGGAAAAGGAATATAATATTTGAAACACGATGAGTTCTTTTTAGACATTTTAGACATTAAATTGTCTGTTAAAAACAAAAAATTGCTTGTTACTACTTTTCAAATGAGAAATTAAAAAAAAAAAAAAGCCACAGGAGCATCTTACGGATCAAGGGATGGTCTTGCTTGAGAAGGGCACCCAGCACATGGGCACAGGTGGAGCCAGGCGCCAGCCTTGCTGGACATCTGCCAGCTGGCCAGCCAGGTCGGGAGTCGTGGTGCGGCCGCTTTGCAGCGACTCAGTCACCCACTGTGGTACAGCTGTAGCTGCAAGCAGGAAGATCTTGTCTGCAGACTTGTACCTGAACCTACAAAGGATGCTCAGCCTGCCTTGCCTGTATCCATCCGGGGTTGATCAGGGATCCGGGGTACCGAGCACAGGTGGGGTGACGTAGTCCAAGTGATGAACCCCTTTCCCGAGACTCACGGTCTGTCCTGGAACAGCCGTGCTGATGTCTGCACTGCTGGTGTCTCATCACAAACGAGGACGGACGGGGGCTGACCGCGTCTCCGTGGCTGCACCCACGGGGAAGGGCCCACCGTTCCTTAAGAATGCCCCGAGGAAGTGTAATTGCTTGAGCAGATCCCAGGGGTCTCTGGGGCGCTGCTCTTCCTTCCTGTCTCTTTCTGTCCCTCACACTGGACGCCCCTACTCACCTGGCTTACAGAGTTCAGGGTTCCTCCTCTCCCTGCTCCGATCTGATGTGGAGCTCTCATGAAGTTTCATTTCAGCTTTTGTAATTTTTTGTTTGCTACACCCTGTGGCATATGGAGCTTCCCAGACCAAGGATGGAACATGTGCCCCCTCCATTGGAAGCTTGGGGTTTAAACTACTGGACCACCAGGGAAGTCCCATAATACTGTTTTCTAGATTTGTGATTTGGTCTTGGAGAAATAAAAATCCTTGTATGGATATTCAGTATTTGGTAAAACATTCCTCACACTTCCTTTAGTTATTTAGATATGGTCACCTTTAGTTCTTTGGACACATTCAAGATTGCCAATTTAAAGCCCTAGTCCAGCCTGTGTGTGGGGTTTTCCAGGTGGCACGATTGGTAAAGAATCCTCCTGCCAATAGAAGAGATGCAGGAGGTGTGGGTTTGATCCCTAAAGAATCTGCCCACAATGCAGGAGACAGGGGTTCGATCCCTGGGTCAGGAAGATCCCCTGGGAAAGGAAATGGCAACCCACTCCAGTATTCTTGCCTGGGAAGTTCCATGGACAGAGGAGCCTGGCAGGCTACAGTCCATGGGGTCACAAACAGTCAGACACCACTGAGCAACTAAACAACATACCTGTATGGCGGCCATAATTTCTTGTTTCTTTGCGGGTCTTGCAATATTGTTTTGAAAATTGCATGTTTTAAATAATATAACGTGGCAACTCTGTTAAATTCTCCCCCCACCCAGGGTCTATCGTTGTTGCTTTTGTTGTTTGTTTACTGGCTTTTCTTAAATGGAACTAATTCTGTAAAGTCTGGATTCTGGTCAGCCGTGGTCACTGAAGTCTCCTCTCAGTCATTTCCTCAGTGTCTGCAGCCGGGAGGTCTGCCATGTTGCCGAGGTCCTCGTGTATGCGGGGGCAATGCCTTCAGCTCTTGGTGGGGCGGGATGGCCCTGCTGCCTTGGCATCACTTGCCGGCATAGAGCTTTCGGGTCAGCCAGAGGTGAGACATGTGAGCTCTCAGGTCTTCCCCGGGACGTGACAGCCTTGCACACGCGTGCAGCCTCCTGGAGCCCTGCAGACATGTCAGAGCTTCTCAAAGCCCTTTGTGGACATCTCACCACTCAGCCCCATTTTTGCTCTGCTCTTACCACTGTTTCAGGCAATCATGACGTCACACAACTGCAGTTGATCTGTTTGTCCCAAGTGTCCTGGGAGAAAGGTTTTTCGCCTTTCATGTGAGTTGGGTCAGATACAGTGGGGTCTCTCATAGAACCATCTAGAAGCCACGGAGGAGCATGTTCTGGGGAGGTTCCAGTCCCGTCTCTCCTTCCGAGGCCCCCAGGCTCCTGGTTTTCAAGACTCCGAGCAGACACGGTGGAGGAGAGGGGTCGCGGGCGTCAAGGTTCTTGCTGAGAGGAGGTCGTTTGTCCTGAAGGCAGGCTCACGGGTTACCGTGGCCTTAGGGAACTGCCAGCAGTCAGGGAGCGTTGACGGCGACCCTTCCTGCCAGTGCTGATGCTGCTTTTATGGAGGAGAGGATTTCTGGAGGTCTGTCCTTGCCATTCACAGTGACGCCTACCCTGTCTCCACAGCAGACCCCCGAAACCAAGCTGACAGGTCACCAGCCAGAGCTCACTGTGTCGTGGAACGTCTGTATCGTGCGGTGCTGTGAAACCACTCGGGAGGAGGAACCGTGTCTCATGATGTGTGAGATCAGAAACGTTGGAGGGGGGAGTGCGTTCATGCCTGTGTGTGTCCACTCATCTCTCACTTTTCTGAAAGCACGACCACCCGAGTCCCTGTGTGTGTGTCTGTTTTTCTTTCGGGGGACAGGTGTGTCAGGGTAACACGGGGGTCAGGACTGGCTGCAGTGAGACTGGGGCGTGTGGCGGCTGCTCAGCGGTCTATCGTCTTTGAGCTCTTCAGAGATTGTGGGGGGCATGTCTCACATTTGCCATTTCTGAAGATGTTATCTCAAGAAGTATTTGTGATGACAAAGCTATGCATCATTCTACAGTCCTGAAGGGTTTTACATGTAAAGTTCTCTCTTTTTTCCTCCACTTTCTATATCCACAAAAGTACATTTCCAGGGTCATAGCATCGATGAACGTGTATTGTTCTTGTTCATGTACACAAAAAACATTCAGAAGAGTAAATACTTTTTACTTTTGCCCTGACTCCCCATGTTTGCTTTCTAGACTCGAGGGAGGAGCCATTCACCTGATGCTCCAGCCAATTCCCAGCTCTGCTTCCAGCGACTCAGGGTTACCCCCGAGACTGCTGCCCAGGGCCCCCAGAGCCGGTGCCAGCGGCCAGACACTCGGAACCTTCGGGACACGTGAAAGGTGAGGGGCGTGGCCAGTGGGCGTGGCCATCTCCCCGAGCCTTGTGCTGTTCCCAGCCCCCAAGTGTCCGCTCCAGAATCTGTAGTCGCCAAGACCCCGGGCAGCAGCTCTTCACTCTTGAGACGCCCCAACTCCTCTCTGCCCGCCACCGCCCCCCCCCGCACCCCCCCGCCTCCGCCAATGCAGGGGCCCCTCCCACCCAGTACCGTGTAGCTTCAAGAAGCCACTCGAGGGAAGGGGCTGGCGGACTGGGGCGGGCAGCCTGGGGTCATGGTAACACCCAGCCTTTGGACCCACAGGGCAGAGCTGGTGCCAAATCAATTCCTCAAGCCGCTGCAAGACCATGGACAAGTGACCGGCCGTGTGGTGTGCAGGCCCCTTACGTGTACCAGGGGGAGGCGGGCGGTGCCGAGTCCAGGTTTGCAGGCTCCCGAGTGAGGACACGTGTGAGAACAGCCCTGTGCTGACTCCCAGCTTGCCTGCTAACGTGGGGTGCGGGACAGGCTGGGGGTGAAGTCCGAGACCCGCCCCTGCTGTGAAAGCAGCAGGAGCGATGAGGTCCATCCGCGTGTTTTGTTCTTTTAGGTATGGAAAACTGCAAATCTGGGGTCCTGTGAATAAAACCTTCCCAGATCTTTGAGAAACCTTCACTTACAGAGATGTGAGTACTGAGAGAATGAGTACTGAGCTGCAAATGTAGAGCCTCCGTTTACAACCTGCAGCTGTATGTGGGGGAAAAAACCCAAACCTGAGCTACCAGGTTCCATAGAAAGGGGCCTGAGGTTGTTGGCCGGACTTTTTTCTCTTAAACTGACAAGTTGAGAAATGTATATGGTAAAAAAAAAAAAATGCTAAAAGTTCAAAATGTATGAAAAATCTTCCTGGTTCAGTGCCTGGGTCCTGCTGCCCTGAAGGGACTACATTGTCAAGTTTTGTGTTTTCTCCTAAGAATAATCTGTGTGTGAGCAAATTTAGGCCAAATGTTTACCTATTTATTTATTATATTAAATTGTGGTAAGACACACAGAGGACAGAATCACCACCTTAATCATTCTTACGTCCACAGGCTGGTCGTATGCCCGATCTCCAGAACTTCTTCATCTTACAAAACTGGAACCCTGTCCCCATTAAACAACCAAACCCACTCAGCTCTTTCCCTCAGCCCCTGACACCCACCCTCCTAATCTGCTCCTTTGAATTTGATGGCTCTAGGGCCTTCCCACGGTGGAGATACACAACCTCCGCGCGGCGGAGATACACAGCCTCTCTCCGGGTGGCTGACTGACGTCACTGAGCACAGTCTTCGGGTTTCCCCTGTGTTGCAGCAGGTGAGCCTCCTCCATGCAGCAAGGAGAGGAGGAGCTTGAGAAGCCCCCTTTGGGCTGGACGGTGACGCTGCTCGTCTTCCTGATGGGGTGTCTTCCTGATGGGGTGTCTGCCCACGGCTCCCCGCGTTGTGTGAGCCGGTGATCCGATCCCGCCCCGCCGAGGTCAGCGCTCTTCCCGCAGCTCAGTCTCACAGACCCGGACTCTTTCTGAAATGCATCAGAAAAGCCTTTATGTTTTTTCCTGGACTGGTCTGACTTCTGGAGCGGGCAGTTTGTGGTCAGTGGGGTACACGTTGTGTAGGATGCTGCCCCATTGTGGGACCCTTGCTTCTCAACGTGATGGCGATGCAGGGACCCAGCCCACCCTGCTCCAGGCTGCACGATGCCAGCCTGCACTTTGCTTCTGGCTCCGAGATCCTGATGGGGTGAGGGCCACGGGTCACCCATCACTGCCGAGAAGGAGGACGGGTGAGCCTGGCCGCCTGGCTGGCGGAGCAGGAAGTCACCCGATGACGCCGTGGGTTCTGGGAAGAGGAGCAGGACCACGGGGATGGGCGGCTCAGGACGGACAGTTACCGTGATGTCAGTCCCACTCAGAGCCTCGATGCTTCCCTCGTGCTGGCGGTGAAGGGGCGGTCCTGCTGGGCTCCATGACCTTGGCTTTGGAGGGAACTCCTGGGTGACTTTGGGTTAGCCTTGCCTGTGGTGTATCCTTGGAGGAGAACACGCAGCTGAGGCTGGGACTGCAGCAGCCAGGCTGAACTTCGGGAGTGACAGCAGAACATGACCACCAGCCAGCGCCCTGACCCAAGCAGGGCACCCAACCAGAGCCAGTCACGTCTGCCTACCAGCGCCTGGGGAGGCAGAGCCACCAGCCTCTTGTGTCAGCTCAGCTGCCTGCAACTCGGAGCTGATGGGGGGTCCTGCAAACATGGGATTCCCCAGCGTGTCCCGCAAGCCTTCAAGTGGGGACCCAAGGCCCCCAGGATGCGTGGCTCCCTGGCCCCCAGGACAAGAGCTGGGGAAGGGGGGGTGGCTGAAATGGAGGCCTCCCTCCTGGGCTGTGGATGAGGTGGAAAGACTGATGAAACTCTTCTCTAAAATGAAACTTCTTAGAGGTTAGTGTGTGTTAGTCACCAGTTGTGTCTGACTCTTTGCAATCCTGTGGACTGTAGCCCACCAGGTTCCTCTGTTCATGGGATTCTTCAGGCAAGAATACCAGAGTGGGTTGCCATTTCTTTCTCCAGGGGGTCTTCCTGACCCAGGGATTGAACCTGGGTCTCCTTTATTGCAGGCAGACTCCTTACCAGCTGAGTGTGGAAATCGTTTGGGCATCTGTGACAATGCAGACTGTGTCAGTGGGTCTGGGGCCAGGCCGGCTGCTCTGCTCTGCATTTCTAATGAGCACTTGGATGAAGCCCAAGTGAATGGTCGAAGATCACCCAAAAAGCAAGGCTCTACTGAAATCTAAGCAAAATTGCATTTATTTTCTTTTTTCTTGGATCCCTCTCCCCACTTAGGGCTTCTCTGGTGGCTCAGAGAGTGAAGAATCTTCCTGCAATCCAGGAGAACTGGGTTCGATCCCTGGGTCAGGAAGATCCCCTGGAGAAGGAAATGGCAACCCACCCCTGTATTTTTGCCTGGAGAATCCCATGGAGAGAGGAGCCTGGTGGGCTACAGTCCACAGGGTCGCACAGAGCCAGACACGACTGAGCGTGCACACACATACACACACCCCACTTAACCTGAGTACCTGAGATAATGCTCCAAATAAGTACATTTTGAGTCTTCATTCTTATTTAAAGACTGTTTTGTATCCATGGCATGTCAGTTCCTAGTGGTGGACATTTAGGTGGCTTCTCATCTTTGTTCTTTTAAGAAATAATTTAAATTTTATTAGTGAATAGTTGATTTACAATGTTGTGTTAATTTCGAGTGTACAGCCATGTGACTCAGTTATGCGCTTATATATTTTCATTCTTTTTTAGATTCTTTGTAATCTTTGTTCTTAAAGCCAAAATGCAAGGAGCAGACTTGCTCACATGAATATCGCAAGTGTGTTTGAAAAGGTGTGAATTCGCTTGAAGGGAAGCATATGGGACGCTTGTACACCGGAAACTGTGATTATTCTGTCAAGGACCCCAGGGATCAGGCGTTCCGACAGGCTGGTGTCCTCTGGACTAGGGTCAAGTTGGCCGTCTTCCACGATGCTGTCAGTCTTGCACGTGCTTTTTTTCGGCCCCGTTATCTTTCCATCTCATGCTTGTGCAATTGTTTTCCTGGAGTCTAAGTGTGGGATTGACTTGCACAGCCTGTTAAGTTCCATTTGCTGGCTTCAGACTGTCATCTCACCTGCTGAGATAATTGTGGTTATTGACTTTGTCATCTAACGTTTTCCCTCACTCTCTTGGGTTATTTCATCTTCACAATTGATTCTTCCCATCCGTCCCTCCCTCCCTCCACCTGGTGACTGTGTCCTGAGAGGCCCGTGCTCTGAAGGCTGTGCGCTCATCTCTGGGGTGTTCACCATGGTGAACCAAACAGAAAGGAATCTGTGTTCTCCTGGACTGTCATTCCAGTGGGGAAGACAGACACTAAACAAGGACAAATAAGTTACATGGATGTTATGGTGATGCTGAGCACCAGGGAGGAAAATAGAGCAAGGACGAGAGACAGGGAAAGGGTGGCCAGAGAAAAACCTCACAGAACGCGACATCTGAGCAGAAGATGTTTCGGTCCAATTCATTGGGCAACAGGCTGAAAAAGAATTCTTTGATCTGTCACCAGAGGCCTCCCTATGGGCCGATGTTAATCCGTGAGCTGGTACCTTTGGGTTACAGCTGATGAATCTACGGACATGCTCTGTGATGAAGTATCCAGACTGCATTTCTCAGCATCTGTGGCTCTTCCCTGATCCCGGCTGGTCCCACTCTCACATCAGAGAAGTGAGTTTAATGTGAAGGAGGTTTTCCCCTTGTTGCCGCGATGCCATAGTGAGCTGGGAGTGGAGAGAGAGAAGGGGCAGCTTGGCATTGACCATCCTCGTGGCCTCAGTGAAAAATCACAGGTGGAAAGACCAGAGTCTCTTGGCAAAATCATAGGAAATTCAAAATTTTTCCCCAGGAAACTTTGGCGACTGTGTTTCTGAATAGCAGGCACGCCTGGTTCTCCACTGTCTCCAGCCAAACCCCAAGCGGCCCATGGTCAGTGTCCCTGCAGGGTGGAGGCGGCCAACGGCCTGGCCCCGCGCTGCTGCCCAGGGGGCTCCGTCCAGGTGAAGAGCTGTCTTCTTCAGACTCACCTGCAGGCTGCAGTGTTGCCATGACTATCTTCACAGCTCTGGGGCGGGCTCTCTAGGTGAGCAGACGGGTGGAGGAGGCGCAGGCAGACACTGAAGTCACAGGGAGGCAGGGAGCACGTGAGGTTCCCGCGTAGCCCAAGAATCCAGGTAGCAGCGGGGCCTCATCAGGCCGGCCGTGCGCAGAGCCGGCTGTCTGCAGGCTCCCCTGGCCTGGGTCCCTCCGTCTGTGGCGTCAGTGGACGGGACCAGGTCGCTGCTGAAGCCAGTGCTCTGCCCCTGAACTTTAGGTTCTGTGCGTGTGCTCTGTGAGTAGCCACCAGGCAGCTACGCTCTGGAACCTGGTTTCGCAGAAGCTTGTCCTGATGGATGAAGGCCCTGGGGCCTGAGGACAGCCTGGTGCCGGCCAGGAGGGGCTGGGACCCGGGGAGGCCCGGAGCCCCTCGGGGGTGCTGCCCCAGCTGGCGAGCAAGGCGGAGAGCCCAGGACCAAAGCTTCTTGATCTGGTGAGAGATTAAACAGCGGCAACAGCTGCAAGAACCAGACCCTCCCCACAGAGCCCTCCAGCCCCCCTGCTCCGGAAGCAGGGGACCCCCTGACAGTGAGAAGGTGGGTCTCGGTTCCAGAGCCAGGAGAGCAGACCCCGCCCTGGTCAGAATGGCCCTTTGTTCTGAGACTGTGACTAACGATGCTGCTATGCGAAGGCTTATGCAACCTGGCAGAGCTGGGCCCTCGCCCCGACCCGGAGCCTGTGATCCGGGCACCCAGCCCGCAGTTGCGCAAGAAGTAATTAGGGGTCCAGCCGAGGCTTGCTGGCTCCTCGTCAGGCCGGGCTCCCGGGCCCAGCACCCCGACAGGCTCATTAATGTTTAAACCTCCCGGTGTGGGAGGCTGTTTTGTCACCGCAGAGGGTTCAGCGCGGGGCTGGGGTGGGGCGGGGAGTGGGGAGCCCACATGCTGTTCCTCCTGCCCCCTCCCCCTTTTCCATAGAAAAGTCGTTTTTAAAGCTCTCTAAAAATCTTTGAGTTTTTTTAAAAAGTTCTTTAAAAATAAATAATTTTCTCCACCAATCCATTATCTTCTAAAAATAGACCTCAAGTATAACTTTAACCTTGAGAAATAAGTGGAAAAAAAAAAACTAGTCTAGCTTCCTGTCTGCTACCAGAATCTCAGGGGGGAAGACAGAAAGCTATTTTATCTGGTGAAAGCTTGAGGGCACGTGTGGCAGAGGGCACCGCTGCCAGGAAGCCGCCCCCGCTGCCTCCAGGAGGGCACGGCCTTAGAAAGCAAGCCGGCCTGGAGACCCCCTGTCTGTGGACTCCTCTCTGCAGAAGCCCGCGAGCTCCCTGCTCTGTGCTCCAGGGCCTTGTCGCCGGATGTCAGGACACCCTCCCGTTTTTGCATCCTGGAAGGACGTGCGGGTCTCAGTCCCCAAGGACTTCATCCCAGGGGCTTTGCTGGGACCAGGGACAGGGCCCAGGCCAGCAGCCGGCATTCCCTGCCTCACTCGTAGAAGAAACCGAAGTTGCCCGTCTGCGCAGTCTGAGGATATCGCTCAGGTTTGCGATGCACTGGCTTCTGTCCTCACGGGCCCAGGGCTCCTCTCAGAAGAACGAGGTTCCTGCCCCGGCTCACCTGCCGCCTCACCTTCCTCCCTCTTTTGCTTTCCTTCCCTCTCAGTGAACTGGGCTTGTTTAAATTGTGACGCAATGAACTATAATGGTAAAAAAAAAAATAGTTCTTCCAACCAGAATAAAAGTGCATCAGATGAAAGATAAATGGCTTTCCCCATGCCCGCATCTCTGCAGCCTCGTCAGCTACCCCCAGGTAACCCTACAGCGTGAGTGTTTGGTAAAATCCTCCTGACCATTTCCTCTGTGAGCCACGTCTGTGGATGGAGATGCACACGAAGCCCTCTCCTGCTCACAGGACCACGGTCAGCGTGCGGAACCCACGGCTTTCCACAGCACTCCCGTCCTGACTGCCCGGCGGTCTGCTGTGAGGCTATGCCCCGGCCGACTTAAACTGGACCCATAAGCTGGTGTATATACATCCTCCCCAGTTTGGGGGACCACAAGCAGGGCTGCCCTACACACCCCAACATGTGCCCTTGTGCTCAGCTGAAATAGTGCACCCTTGGGATAAATTCCTAGCAGTGGTTTTGCTGGGTCAAAGGTTATGTGCATTTTACATTTTAATAGGCATTGCTCAACTGCCCTGCAGAAAAGGTGCACCAATTTACAGCCCCATTAACACTGTGTGAACAGCCATCTCCTCACAGCCTCACCAAACCACATACTCTCAGACTTGCAGGTCTCTGCTATAGACAGAAAACAGCAAGAAGTGTTTCTTTTCTTAAATTTGCATTTGTATTATGAAGAGTGTTTATGGACTATTTGCCGTTTGGGGTGAAAATATGCTAGCCTTGACCACGGTTCATTTCTATTTTTAGTTGTTTTAAAAATGGCTTTCTAACAGCTTTCATTTATCATTAGCCAGCTAGGTCACAAATATCTTCCCATGTGCCTGCTATTTAGGCACAAAGGAGTTTACAATATTTACAGAGAGAATTGATCTGCACTGAGAGTTTCCACCGGACTCATGGGAGCCCTGCCTGCACAGAGAAGACTTAACCTCTCCCTCTCCCCTGTCGCTTTTCCCTGGGCTTGCTTTCCACACACTCGGGCCTGTGTTCTGGTGTGTGTGGTGAGGTAGGGATTCAATCGGTTCTTTGGAGTTTGCTCATCAGCTTGCTGGCTGGAGGGGGCTTTCTGCTCCCTGTGAAGTCAGTGGATCCAGACAGGAACGCGCCTCCTTCCCTTCTTCTTAGATAGATCTGGCCCCTTCCTGGAACCCTGGCCTTTTCTGAAGGAAGCTTCAAGGAGTAAATGCAAAAAAGAATGATTGAGAGGAAAGCGGAAAATGGAGGCTTCTGGTAGGAAAAGAAAAACACCAACTTAACAGGGTTAAATCACTTATGTGCATAAGCCATTTAAGATTTCACTTTAACCGAGTGCAGAGTCCCTTGGACAGCAAGGAGATCAAACCAGTCAGTCCTAAAGGAAATCATCCCAGAATATTCATTGGCAGAGCTGATGCTGAAGCTGAAGCGCCAGTACTTTGGCCACCTGACGTGAAGAGCCAGCTCGTTGGAAAAGACCCTGATGCTGAGAAAAGATTGAGAGCAGGAGGAGGGGATGACAGAGGATGAGATGGTTGGATGGCATCACCGACTCGATGGACATGAGTTTGAGCACGCTGCAGGAGATGGTAGAGGACAGAGGAGCCTGGTGTGCTGCGCAGTGCAAGGGGTCACAAAGAGCTGGACACGACTTAGTGACTGAACAACAGCAGCAATAAACAGAAGCCCTGGGCCAAAAAAACAGCTAAGCAGATGAATTCTGTTTGGCGTTTGTTTGCCCAATTCTGCTCAAGAGAGAAGGGATACACAACTCTCATTTTAATAGTATCTCTGCAGTGAGTTTTCTTAGTTGAACAGATCAAGAATCTTGTGGGAAGTTCAAGAGGTCACATTTATAGCCTGGGTTTTCAGGATTCCTCCCATAGTTCCTAAGTAGGTGGGGTATTTTCTCTTTAAAGACCAAATAAGGTATTGCACAATCAGTAACATCAGCAATTTCGACTTGCTGGCATGAGTGATGTGATATGCATTTTGGCAAAGACGTACATACTCTGATTTGCAGCATAATTCATATAATCCTGTAGATCAGACTCCAGGTGATTTAGGTAGAAGGTACTGAAGCACTCCTTCTCCCCGCCCCAAGGACCCACCTCATGGTAAACTGTGTAATTTGTACGATGATCTAAGGTGATTGATGAGGATTTGGGTTCATCATTCGGGGCTAAGGAGTATCACTGCTGTTGGTCCTGATCCACCGAGCCGCTTCTGCTGCGCCTGCCCCGTCCCCTCCTGAAACGCGGCTTTTCTTGTTTTTGCGAGTCATTCTCTCCCGCTTCCCTCCTTCTCAGGCTCCTGCGCCAGCTTCTCCTTGTGCGTCTCGTACCCCAGCTCCCCTGGCCCTCCCTCAGCTCAGGACACTCACCCCATCTTTAACTTGAGCTTAATTTGCTGACTTTGTGTCTTTCAACTGATTTTCACCCAAGTCATCACGCGTGCCCTGGATGAGGCCTTCGTGCCTCCAGTGGTGGGAACTGTGTGGCCCGTTCCCAACCACGCCCGAGCCCCGTTGGTCCTGGACTTCAGACAAGCAGTGCCCCTCAGGGAACCAGACTCCGCTGCCTACGGAGTCTGCCCTGCCCCTGTGAGGTTGGAGTGGCTCAGATGGTGCCTTTGAGCACATTCGAAAAGTGTTCTTTCCTCAAAACACTTACTTCCATTGGGCAAAATTTGTTGGAATTACCAAGACTGCTGAGAATGGCACCCTTCACCTGTATTAGGGAGGGGACAACCACAGTCACACGGCCCTTTGTCCTGTGTTTCAGAGACTCTGTTGCTGCTGGTTGCGGGGTTCCCAGCGGCCCCCCTTCCGCCGGGGCCCCGGGGCTGAGGGTGCAAGGCTGCCTGCCTGCCTGCCCACTGCCCGGGAAGTGTCTGCCTCTCCAGGAGGATGCGCGGCGTCCAGCTGACTTCCCCTCGATGGAAGGAGTGATGTGGCTTGCTGTCATCTCGTGGATGAGCAGAGAGATGTGCCTGCCAGGCCCAGAGTGGGTGCCACCTGGCTTTCGGTCCAGGAGGAATCCAGCACTTCACCAGCTGCCCAGGGAGACAGCAGAAGACACCACGGGCAGGACGTGTGGGCAAGTGGTCTCTTGGAACTAGTGTGTCCCCTGGTCTGGTGGGGTGGCCATGTGTGGTCATGTGACCCGCACATCCTTCAGGCAATTGTCTCCCCAGGACCAGAGGCTGCCTCTGCCCTGGGCATGCTCAGAGCCTTCAACACAGCCTCCTCCTCCAAAAGGGCAAAGTGGTGCTGCTTAGGGGGCCACTGGGGGGCCACGGCCTCCGGGCAGCATCTGGACTGAGGGCCAGGTCGGAGGGATAGTAGGGCCGTGGGCTCCTAGCAGGCCCTGGTGCCCAGTCACTCCCCCGGAGCCTGGCTGCTGACTGTGGGCATGTGCTTTAGGTCCTGCGTTTGCTTTCTAACTTGGACAGTTCATAGTTGAAGAAATTCAAGAGCAGATTTATTCCAGTATGCTTGAATAATGCAGCTGAGCATATCACTCACATCCCTGCACAAAGGAGGCGGCAGCCCCGTGGGGAAAGCCCCGTGTCCTGCGGGCAGCGGGACATCTTCATCTGCAGACTGGACTTGCTGCCGGTCACTGGACCTGGCTGGGGGTTCCCTGGACTGGCAGCCACTTTCCAGAGGTGTTTCTTTCATACCAAGCATCTCCACTAGTGCCGTGTGGCAGATAAAAGCTTGAGGAATATTCCCGAAGACTCTGCCGTTCATGTCGGTCTGTGGACGGGTGCCTCTGGGTGTGGACGGTGAGCGCTTGAGGCTGGCGAGCCTGTCCACAGTCCTGCGGTCACGGCATGAGGAGGGGGTGTCTATGATGCAGCGTGGTCTTCCTGTGCCCATCTTCTCTATCTTCCCCCTGGAGAATGTCCTGTGTCTGCCGCGTGACTTAGAGTGACTCGATGGTGGTATCTGAGACAGCGGGGGGTGTGGGGAGGGATGGGTCCTGCAGCAGTGCCTCTGGGTCCCTCCTGGAACCCTCCACAAGCAGCCTGCTGCCAGTCCGGAAGGGGACTGGACCCTGTTGCTGTCAAATCCACTCTGCCTGAAAGAGGGGCGGGTTTCAACCCCTTCTCACTAGTTAAGAAAGCCACAATGGGCGCGCTGTGCCCAAGGCCTTCTGCCAGCTGAGGGGCAGGGCCCAAAGGGTGCCTGGGCTGCAGACACCCCTCTTCCATCACAAGTCATCCCTGGGTTCCCACCTGGAAATCTGGGCTCAGGTTATCTTGACTGGGTCTAGGTCAGCAGACAGCTCCTGGTGATGTCCTAGGAAGCAGAGGCGGAGGCTGCCCTCAACCTTTCCTGGATCTGGGCAGACAGGCTGCCTGCCTGAGGGCTTGCTTCAGCCAGAATCCAGAAAGAGCCCCGTCATTTTGCAGTAAACAATGATGCACCTTTTATTGCATTTATAAATGTCCCCAGAGGCTATTACTCAAAAGGGGTTCAGCTAATAAATACAGAACTAATAATTACCTTGGTTCAGAGTGTTTCTTGTGTAACTGCCGTCGGGGTCAAGAATGTCCGTTTGCTCAACCTCCCTTGCACCTCAACACCTGTGGTTACGGAGCTGGGGTGCAGGCTGAGGTCAGGGGTCAGGGAACAGGATGTCCCTCCTGCCGGGTCTGAGCGTGATGGACAGGCTGCGGCTCTGTCACTGGTCCTTGGGGCATCCTTTCCTTGTAGGGGTGCTGGGTCCTGCTGTGGACGCTGGACAGACGGCAGCCCCTGGAGCTGCTCTGGGGCTGCCCGGGCGTCAGGTGGGATTGCAGCAGGGCTGTTTCTCTTCCACTTGGGCACTTGGTCCTTGTCCATCCTCGGCCAGGTGGCCAGACCAAGGGAACAGTCAGCTCGTGCTGTGCGTGGGCTCGGCCAGAGGTCAGTCCTCTTGCTGGGCGGCCGTGGGCTGGGCCAGGCCCCCGGTGCCCATTCTCATCTCTGGGGCTGGGGCAGAAGAGGGCAGAGCTGCCTGCACTGCCAGCCTGACGCCCACCGCGTGAGGCGCGGCCCCGTGTCCCCACATACTCCCTCCGGGCCCCGTGGGGTCCCCAGCCGGCCAGCGTGAGTGGCCACCCAGGAGAGGCCTGGCTCTGCGCCGGGCCGGCTTGCAGCCTAGCACCAGAGGCGCTGGCAACCGACACGTGGATGAACCAACGGGATCAAGATAGGGCTGCTCGGGAGGCCTCCCCCGAGGAGGCAGCCAGGCCTCCCGCAGCTGAGACTGATGGGCCGCCTCCCGGGCCCAGGGACAAGTCAGCTCCCTCTGTCTGGGACGGAGTCCCTTCTGCCCAAGCTCCAGAGCTCTGGGGAGATGGCCAGGCCCCACCGCGCCCCCACCTCGGGAGCAGAGCCTGAGGAGGTCGGAGGTGCCCCCGCTGACAGGGCAGGCCTCTGAGGGGCCCTGGAGCCTGGGTCGCTCCGGCTCATCTTCCTGGAGCCCCATCCTGAGCGCTCCTGTGGCTGGACCGGCTCCATGGTTCTGAGCCTCACAGACTTCTGATGGCAGTAAGCACAGCTAGCCAGACGTTGCCAAACCTTTCTGCCTTTTCTCTTAACCATTAGACCTTGGTGATCAGAAACAGCAAATCCGTGTCAAGGCTGTTGAATACGTTTGCTGTCTCAGATTCCAGATGTGATAGAAAGGCCAAGTTGTGGCAAATCCTCTGGGCTAAACTTTCCCTGAGAAGAGTGGCAAGGAGGCTCCAGGAGTGCTGAGGGCAGTGTGGCTGTGGAGCGTTTGTGTTTGCCGCCAGTGCCCCAGGAAGGAGCACGTAAGGCCCGTGTGCAAGCTGGAGAAGGACAGGACGGTGCTTGCTTCTAACCAACCGTCCGTCTGAAAGCCGAACACAGAGGTCTGCACTAGCGCTGTGTGACGTCAGAGCCTCTGCCAGTTTGAAAAGGACCTGGAATAGGGGGAAGATGCATTTTCATGTTTTTGATCACAATCTTCGAAGACACTTATTAGAGCCGTTTGCTGACAACATTAAGAATTAACAAGTTATGTCATCAAAGCATAACAAGAGTTTAATGGTTTCATGAGGGAACTGTAAAGTCTATTACTTAGAACTATTGTGGCGTTAGAAAGCAGGAAATATTTACTGGACTCTTTGGGGTCTAACTTCTAGAACTGGGCAAAGCTCAGCTGTTATGATATAAAGACTTTGTGGTTGTTTACTTGCTAAGTCGTATCTGACTCTTTGTGACCCCGTGGACTGTAGCCCACTAGGTTCCTCTGTCCATGGAATTCCCCAGGCAAGAAGACTGGAGTGGGCTGCCACGCCCTCCTCCAGGGGATCTTCCTGACCCAGGGATGAAACCCACATCTCTCACACTGCAGGCAGATCTTTTACTGCTGAGCCTCCCGGGAAGCCCAGAGTAGAGAAATAAAGAACAGTAAAACAGGATGTGTGATGCCAACAAAGCTCTTGACACCTAAGAAAGTTGCGGGTCATATGACTGCATTGTGTTGGCATTTTTTAGAGGTGGAAATGGAAGGCGGGTTACTGGAAGTTCTTTCTTTCTAGTGAGGGGCCATTTCCATTGTTTTGGGGGAGCAGGAGAGGCCTGTGGGAGGGCGTCCACCCATCCCTGTCACCAGAGAGCAGGGCTGGGGAGGGTTTCTGGGATCTTCTGGGCATGGAATCCCCTGCACCCTCGGGGGGGAGGGGGCTCTGCAGACACAGAAAGAGCATCAGGGGCACCACCTAACCTCCACGGTGAGGCTGCGACCCCCACTCCCAGGCTGCCCCTGGGCAGACACCAGCTCTCAGTAAGGAGAGAAACCACGTCACAGTTTGGGAGCCCTACCTACCAGTGAGTGAGTGAACTGAGACAGTTGTCTGAATAGTTCAACTAAGTGTAGGCCACAGTATGTTTTGGTCTGAATTATCCTGATAATTGTGTTACAATGGAAAGAATTCTGAACTAGAGGTGAATCTTGGTTTCCTCTTGGGTCAGGGAGGAGTGTTTCATCTACCCTCTGGCCTGTTTTCTCATCTATAAGATCCAGTTCAGTTCAGTCGCTCAGTCGAGTCTGGATCTTTGCAACCACATGGACTGCAGCACGCCAGGTTTCCCTGTCCATCATCAACTCCTAGAGTTTGCTCAAACTCATGTCTGTCGAGTTGGTGATGCCATCCAACCGTCTCATCCTCTGTCATCCCCTTCTCCTCCTGCCCTCAATCTTCCCCAGCGTCAGGGTTTTTTCCAGTGAGTCAGCTCTTGGCATCAGGTGGCCAAAGTATTGGAGTTTCAGCTTCAGCATCAGTCCTTCCAATGAATATTCAGGACTGATTTCCTTTAGGATGGACTGTTTGGATCTCCTTGCAGTCCAAGGGACTCTTAGAGTCTTCAATACCACAGTTCAAAAGCATCAATTCTTCGGCTCTCAATTTTCTTTATAGTCCAACACTCACATCCATACATGACTACTGGAAAAACCATAGCTTTGACTAGATGGACCTTTTTGGGCAAAGTAATGTCTCTGCTTTTCAATATGCTGTCTACTTTGGTCATAGCTTTTCTTCCAAGGAGCAAGGAGGAGCCTGTGGGAGGGAGCCCACCTGTCTTTTAATTTCATGACTGCAGTCACCATCTGCAGTGATTTTGGAGTCCCCCAAAATAAAGTGTCACTGTTTCCATTGTTTCCCCATCTATTTGTCAGGAAGTGATGGGACTGGATGCCACAATCTTTGTTTGTTGAATGTTGAGTTTTAATCCAACTTTTTCACTCTCCTCTTTCACTTTCATCAAAAGGCTCTTTAGTTCTCCATTTTCTGCCATAAGAGTGGTGTCATCTGTGTATCTGAGTATATTGATATTTCTCCCAGCAACCTTGATTCCAGCTTGTGCTTCATCCAGCCCAGCATTTTGCATGAGGTACCCTGCATATAAGTTAAACAAGCAGGGTGACATAAGATTAGGGTCTGTCCAAGAGAGTCAAGAGTTATCTTTTATTTGTGTGTGATTTTCCTGAGAAAGGGCAATGTTGCTTTGTAACACGGTGGCAGGGACAGAGTGGGCTTGGGGGGCCCCCATGAGCCCCTTTTCCCCTGTGGGGTGGGGGGAACGTTTTGTTTCGTCTTTTCTTGAGAGTCCAAGGGACTCGGTCAAGTTGACTCAGTTCTGGAGGGAGCCCAGGGCGTGGGGTGGTCGTGCCAGGGGTTGGTGGGATTGGAGCAGGGCACAGTGCCCTGCTTCAGCCTCTGGTGTTTGGGAGAATCCTCTATCTTAGGAAGCGGCTGGGCTGTTCAGGTTTTCTGCCACCAAAATCAGCAGTTGACCCCAGGTTGTAGGGGCCTGGCCTGGGGCACTGGGGCAGTGCTGGCCCTGCAGGCTGAGACCAGGCACAGGGCGTGGGTCGTGGGTTTCTCTCCCCCTATCCAGCGCCCTGGGCCTGGGGGGGGGGTCTTCTGGGTGGGGGTGGGCAGGTGAGGGGACCACAAAGCACGCGGAGCGGGCCCAAGTCCCTGGCGTTCAGGTATCAAAGGGCGTTTCCTAAACCAAACAGACCCCCACCCCCACCCCACTGTCCTGAGCTCCGGCGGGCGAGGGTCAGCTGCCCTCGCCTGCTGTTTGCATAGGTGGGCCTTGGCCCCACGGCTTGGAGGCTGGGGGAGGGCTGAGGCAGGTTAGGGCTGGGGTGGGTCCCCGGGGTGGGCTGGGGAGGGTCTCGGGCAGGGAGAGGCGGGGAACGGGCGGGGCGGGGCGGGGCGGGGCTCCCTCGGGCCCTGCCCTTTGCCCGCCGGAGCTCAGGAGGAACGGGGTTTTCTGGGCGGACTCGGGAAGGTTGGACCTCGATGGAGTCTCTCAGAGAATCGGTAGAGTTTCCCAGGGCAACTGCCCCACGGATGCCAAGCCCCCAGGGCTGAGTGGGTCGCAGCCGCGGCGGGACCTCCGCCCTCCGCCGCCTCCAGCCCGGCCCAGCGGGGCAATGCGCAGGGTTCGCGCGAGCGGGAGTCTGGCAGGGGTCATGACCCCTGACAGGGGAGCCCAGGTCCCCTGACTCTGGCCTTTCTGTAGAGAACCTGGTGGTCGCCGGCGGCGAGACGAAGATGGCCCCTCACTCACCGGGGTCCGTCCGGAGTGTGTCTCGGGGAGGACTGACCTTGGAGGGGAGCGGGAAGCCGTGTGACTGAGAAGACATCTCCTTTCCCCTCGCTGCTTCTGTCCGTTCGCAGAGTCCTCCTCGAGTATCCACTGGACATGAAAACACTGGCTTTACCAACCCGAGGGGGCGGTATTAGGACCCGGCCTGAGGGCGGCAGATCGGGGAGGAGGTTTGGTCGGCTGCAGTCAGCGATGGGGTCTGGGGGGCGCTCCCCTGGCTTCCCGGGTGCCTTCAGGGTCCCAAGGAACTGAGCGATGGTCCCCTCTTCTACCCCGTGAACCTGGGCTCCCCTCATTTCAGTTTTATTTTCTCGTCTAATTATCGGCCGTGTGGGTGCAATCTCCATGTAAACGGGTGCCTTTTGTCCTAATTCAACCCTGTTATTATCCTTCCTCATGATCACTAAGTAGATCAAATCAGAATCAGTCAGGACTTGCTTACCGTTAACTAGACTTAGGGATGGGCTTTTCCCTCCTATTTTTGCCAAAACACAGCATCCTGAAGTAAACCCCACTCACCATACCCAGCCCCCACGTCACCCTCTTGTCTTGGTTACGATGACACCTGCCCAACCCCCGGAACAGCATCGGCGCCTGAATTTACAGCCTCTTGAGTCTTCACTCTTTGCATTCCTTTTCCAAGACTGCAGCCCAGGGACTGTTAGAGCTCGGCTGCCTCTGAGATTTTGAAGAAGCAGACGTGAACGCTGACTTCCGGTTCGTCCTCTGATGGACCCTCCCTCCCTGCGTCACCAGTGGCTCTTCCCTGCAGGCCAGAAGGAGTCAGCGCCACCCGGGACTCCAGCAGACAAAACCTCCTCTGCGTTCCTAAATAGGTGGGTGGTTTTGTTTAGATAGAGAAAACACTGACTTTCAAAATGTTCTTCAAACTGCCCTGAAGCACTTCCCTGGGGGTCCATTGGCTGGGACTTCAAGCTCTCAATGCAAGGGGCCCAGGTTCGACCCCTGGTCAGGGGACTAGATGCTACATGCCACAACTAAGACACAATCAAATAAATAATTAAGAAAAAATTTCCCTGAGGAAATCTTCAGTGTTAAGACAGTCCCTTGCCAAGATCACATTTTTGAGTGTGATCAGAACCAGTTTACCTGATAATGTCTGCTTGAGGCTACGATGGTTAACAGCTGAACTTGTCCCCAGAAGTTCTTGGGGAAGGGGGGCCCACACGTTCTGGTAACTTAAGTGAATTCTTAGAGGTCATTGCTTTGACGTTTAAGAAACCCCACTGATGGAAGTTGGATCCTGCAGAATCTCACAGCGATGTGTCAGGTAATGAAATCCACAGCATCTACCTTTACTGAATTATTCAGGAAAACGGTTTGAACTCCACAAGGTGAATTATTCAGGAAAACAGTTTGAATTCCACAAGGAGTTTCTTAAGAGTCAAACCTGAGATCATTTGGGAGGGGGGTACAAAACTCTCTGTCTCCAACCCATCACCACAAAGTGCTAAAGTCAGTTGTCGGTTTTATTAAAAAATAAGCACTATGCCTGGGTTTCATAAAATTTATACATGAATATGTACATAGGCACAAATAATATTAAAATAAAAATCACACTTGCTTTCAAGTGGCAGTGATCCTGGCACCCCACAAACATAACGGTTAACTTTTCCTTGGAAGAAGCCACCTGGCCTAAAGAGACCACACTCAAGAAATGACCCAACAGACAGTAAAGCCGCAACCGTTGCCTGCAACATTTTCCATTCAGTCAAAAATATATAAATAATTTAATTACAAAACCCAACAATATATATATTTTTCATCTTTTGGCACAGTGAAACTGGTCAATAGCAGAGATGACTGAAGCTCCTCTGGCCCCTCCCACTCAGCCGCACCTGTAAACACCACAGGCACAAAAGGAGAGGGCCCGGGACCCCCCGCAGTAGTCGCATCACCTGGAATGGTTCCCCATGTGCTGTTTAGGTTTTGTTCCGCTTTGTAAGGGACAAAGCACTGGAAGGTGCAACGAAAACAGCAGGAAGAAGGCAGAGCCTGGGCCGTGAGAAGTTTCTGTGAAGGGCCGGGCACAGGCTTGGTTCAGGAATGGAAACTGCTTTGCTCCTCTGCAACGTGAGCTATTAAGGACGAAGGGAAACGTTCGGGATGCAGTTGAGACCCTTCTGTCCCGTGTTCGCTCTAAGGCACGTCGGGTGATGGTTCTGTGACCGTCTCTGTCCTCGGGCGGAAAGCGCCCTGCCCCGAGCCCGCGTCCCCCGCCGCCCCCGGCGCGCTCATGCCAGGAGCGTCTCAGGCCGACCAGGCAGGTGCGGGCCGGGCGCGCGGGCCGAGGCCGCGAGCAGGGCGTCGGGTAGCCGCACGGGGCAGTACAGGTGCGCACCGGTGGCCGGGCCTCGGAGCGGCTTGGCCGGGGCCGGGGAGGCCAGGGGCGCTAGGAGGAGGGGTGGCACCTCGGCCCCGCGCGCTAGCAGCCCCGGCGGCTCGGCCGCTCCAAACGCGCAGAGTGGCAGCAGGGCCCCGGCGGGCGCGGCCTGGAGCAGCGCCGGGTAGGCGGGCGGAGGCGGCGGGCAAGGCGCCGCGCCCCACGGAGGGCGCGCCCCGGGGCCCGCGTCCCCGGCGCGGCGGCTGCGGAAGGGTTTGCTGAGGATGCTGTCGATGGCGAAGGGGCCGGAGAATCTGCCCGCCGGGCTGGCGCGCCCCTCCGGGCGGGCGGGCGAGTGCGCGCGGGGCGAAGCCGGGGCCGGGGCGGCGGGCGCGGGCGGCGGGGGCGCGCCGTCCGGGGGCTGGAGCGCGGGGCCCGGGGCCGCTGCCCGGTGGCTGAGGCGCTTGCGGCGGCGGCGGAAGACCCCGTCGGCGAAGGTGTACTCGCTGTTGGGGTTCAGCATCCAGTAGTTGTCCTTGCCCCAGGGCCGCGAGGGGTCGCGAAGCACCTTGACGAAGCAGTCGTTGAGCGAGAGGTTGTGGCGCACGGAGTTGCGCCAGCCGGTGTAGCTGCCGCGGAAGAACGGGAACTTGCCCATGAGGTACTCGTTGATCTCGGCCAGGGTCAGGCGCCCGCCCGCCGAGTCGCGGATGGCCATTGCGATGAGCGCGATGTACGAATACGGGGGCTTGGGCCGCCGGGTGTACGGCTTGCCGCGCGCGCCCTCGCCGCCGCCCGCGCCCCCCGAGCCTGCGCCCCCGGCTCCGGGCCCAGCCGCCGCCGCGGCCCCCGCAGCGCCAGCGGCGCCCGCCTCCTCAGCGCCCGGCCCGCCGCCCGCTCTCCGCTCGCCGCCGTCTGCCGCCGGGCTGTTGGCCGCGCAGTCCCCGTCCGAGCCCAGGGAGTCGTCGCCCGCGGCCGATAGCGGAGACGGCGCGTCGCTGCCGCCCGCACCCTCCAGATCATTCCCCGGCTTGTCCCCAAGACCCGCGCGGGGCCCGAACACCTCCAGCTTCATGCCCGCGCCCGTCCCCGCCCGGCGCGTACCCTTTGCCTCCGCGCAGTCCTGGACAGCGGGCACCCGGGGCGGGGTGGCGATCGGGGCCGGTGTCCTGGCCTCTCTCTCCCGGAGCTCGCCTTCCTCTGGGTGAGACAGTCGCTTTCCGGATTGGAGTCCCCTTCCGTTGGAGTTCTTTGGAGTGGTTGTGCTTATTGGGTGAACCGACAGGGGCGAAGAGGGAGGAGCTGGGGGCGTACTGGCTTCACGATGAGGAGCGGAGACTTGGGGGAAGGCGTGCAGAGCCGCGGTTCCAGCCTCGGGTGCCAGGGCGCGCGGGGCTTGGAGTTCCTGCCGGAGGAGGAAGCGTGCGCATCTGCTTCCCGTTCCAAAGATGGGGTTTCTTCTCCCGGAGAGGCGTCCTCGCGGGTCGAGTCAGTGCCGGCTGCCGTGCCTGCCGCCCCGGGGCGAGGGTCCAGCCTTCACCCTCGAGTGCCCACGGAGCCGAGTCCCCGAGGCCGTGGCGCCCGCAACCGCCTTCCCGCCCCCGGCCTCCGGAGCAGCATCTCCACGCTTGCCGCCGCGGCCCCGTCTCGTCTCCACCTTCGACCCAGCCCAATATAACCCCGCGGCGCCCCGCGAGGGCGGGGCCTGGGCGCCGACGAGGGGTGGGGAGCGAGGTGGCCCAGGTGGCCGCGGCTCCGGAGCGGGCGCGCGCTAGGCAGAGGCCACGCGGCGGCGCGGCCGCAGGTTGTTTGTTTTGGGTCCGCCCGGCCCCGCCCTCCTCCTCCCACCAATGGGAGGCGTGCGCGCGGCTGAGGTCCGCGCGTCTGCGCGCGTGCGTGAGCGCCTCGGCTCGGGGGCCGCGCGCGCGGTCGCTCGGGAGGGGCCCCTGCGCTCCGGAGCTCACGGAAGCGATACGAGAGCGCGGCCGGGGCACCTGTCGCGACGCCTGGCGCGGCTGGGGCCCGCGGCCTCCCTAAGCCACACTTGGTGTGCGGGTTCTCTGCGAGGGAAAACGGCGCTGCTCCCCCACGCAGACCCCCGTCGTCCCGGCCGAGGGACGAGCAGCGGAGCACGCGCAGGACACACTGCGGTGGCCTCCCACTGGGGCCGCGCGGCGTGTCCTTCTCGGGACCTCATCTTGAGGACCATCTCTCTCTTCTCTAATGAGTAAAAGTCTGGACTCGAGATTGACTACACCTGAGATGCCCTTGACTCGCTCTCATATTGGCCTGACTTTGTCTTCCGTGGCCTCTTCCCTCACCTGGGCGGGGGCTCCTGCCGGCTCTGCGCGGCTCCCGCCCCCGGGCGGCCCGGCAGCCCTCCTGCTCCAGGACGTTCGCTGTGGTTTCCGTGGTACCGGCGTCTGGCGGTCGGGAAAGAGGGCCCTCTCACCTCGGCGGGACTCCCGGCGGCGTGGATGATCCCCGAGGGCGCACTTCTAACCCGCTGCCCTTCCAAGCTGAGGCTTCGTCCTTTTCCGGCCTTTGTTGCAAATAAGCGACGGAGCTGCGAGTAGGTGGGACCCCCGTCGATGTTTATTTTATTACTTTCCACCATTTGTGCAGAAAATGTACACAACCCTCTCATCTTTTTTCAGGCAGTTTTAAAGGCATTCAGCATGGGGTCTGAAAAATGACGGGCCGTGGAGAGCTCTGTTGTTTTTGGTGTTTGGGGAAAAGATCTGCTTTGGAGATTAGACTGGATTGTGTGCCTGCCGAGCTGGGAGCTGGCAGGAATGGCTTTTTTTTCTGAAGGCAGCTGCCCAAGGGGTCCCGGCTCCAGGCCAGGAGTCTGTGGTGGCCAGGAGTCTGTGGTCCCCAGGACCTGGAGGTGGGATGGGCTGGAACAGGAGAGCAGCAGGTGAACAGCCAGGGGTGACAGCGCTCTCATCGAATGCCATCCTGGTGTGAACTCTGGAGGTGGGACGAAGGCGTTTTATAGGGCAGATAAGCCGGAGCTTGAGGTGTGGGCCAGTCGGCTGCTGCAGAGTCTAAGGGAGGCCAGAGACACTCCAGGGCTAGGTGTTCGGGGACCCATTTCCACCTTGGAGACGCCTAGGAGGCAGTCCTGCGGGCCCGTTCACCTGGCCACCACCGCAGCCCTGCCTTCACCCAGAGCATGGATTTGCAGCAGTTCCCCTCCTGGGCTCCCCACCTGCCGCCCCCCAGCCCCTCCTGTCTCTGTCTCTGCTTCCCCCTCAGCCCCCAGCAGTTCTCCAGCCCGAAGGTTAGTCTGGCAAGTGCTAGTGAGCTGGGCCTGGAGGTTTGTTCAGAGGGGAGAGAAGAGATCCCCACACTGGGCCCCCGTCGCCACTCACAGCAGCGACCTTGGGCCCTGTCCTCCCCACTGCGCGTGTAAAATGATGCCCAGCTGGACTGCTGTGCCCATTGCCTTTGGCACCGCTCCTTTCCTGGGGTGAATATACGGCGTTGCATTTCCGCCTCTGGGTGCTTGGGCCTTCGGGTGAACTCCCAGAGCCCTGAGATCCTGCCTTTCACCCCTGCTCCAACCCAGCCTGGTAGGAGGGGGCGTGTTGACATGTGGCTGCTCTCCCCCGCCCCAGCTCCCGCCTTCAGGCCAGAGGAGTGTTGGTCCTGCCAGGGACGCAGCCCCCCACCCTGCCCCCTGCAGCAGCGTCTCCTCCACCATCACCATTCTGTGGGGGAGGGACCAGCCGTCCTGTGGGGCAGGCTCTCCCTGCCTCAGGGCTGGGCCGCTGGGCGGGCTGCAGGTTTGGGAGGAAAGGAGGGAGGAGACAAGGGCATGGAAGTGGGGGGACCCTCACTGAGAAACCCTTTTTATTTTCAGGGTGAGAGCTTTGGGAGATGCGGAGTGAGCTTTCTAAAGGAAGACCCCGCTGACTATGGTGGACAGAGGGCCACTCGGAAGGTTGGAAAGACCCCCGCTGCTGGAATGCAGGCCCCAGGAAGCCAGGAGCCCCTTCTCCACCCGCTGCGCCCCCAGCCCTTGCCGCAAGCACTGTCTCGCTGTGCCACTCCTGAGAACGTGCTGCGCTGCTCTTCATTCTCCCTTGTTGCCTTTACCGCCCTCTCACCCCGAGAAGTCCTCCCCTTCTGCAGGTACAGGAGGACGGCGATGGATGGAGGTTGCCCTCCCCTCTGCATCGTGTGCACGGCGCCCTCCAAGCCAGTGCAGACCCTGCAGGCATTTCACGGCGTGCTGTTTGAAGGGTCCCTACAAAGGCTTGGCGACATCTGCTCCCTAACTTTCAACCCCTTGGGGATCAGCAGTGATGGGTTAATGATAAATGCCCGGACGTGGAACCTGACCAAACACTTGTAGGTTTGAAAGACCCACCTACTTTTTCATTTATTCCCTGGCCCTTGAACTTGTGTGGAGATGAGGAGGTAAACCTGGCCAAGTGTGAGCTCACGTCTCAGTGATCGCCAGGGGTCCTTGGACCTGGAAGAGGGCACGGCAACCCACTCCAGGATTCTTGCCTGGAGATTCCATGGACAGAGGAGTCTGTCGGGCCGCAGTCCATGGGGTCTCAAAGAGTCGGATACAACTCGGCGACTGACCCTTTCTTCACTTTCTTTCTTCTTGGGCTCCTGGAAGTGGTTTTAGGCAAAGGATGGACGTGCATCCATCTCCAGACAAGGACTAACTTAGCTGGAAAACCTCGGTGGGATTTGAACTCACTGTAACCTGATGTTCACTGCTCCACGCCTAAACCACAGTGTGCGATTCCTGAAATGGAAGGGACTCGGTGGACCTGACTCCACTGAAGACGTCAGTGCTGGCCCAGGTGCACACGGCCTCCTGGCCCCAAAGGAGCCAGGGAATCGCCCCTCTCACTTCCCCTGCCCCCCGGACACCCGAGCTTCTTGCTGGGTTCCCTCGGCAGGAGCCACCTTTGGCCTCTGGGGCTGAAGAGAAGGTGAACTTTGGTTGCCTGCCCTGGGGTCCCAGGCCTCTGACTCTGTGAGAGCGGCCGTGTTGGGGCCCCAGTCCACAGGAGTGGCTCAGATCCGAGTTCCATCACTTGTGGGACGGGGTTGGACTGAAAGCTGGGGCCTGACGGCCTCTTCAGGGCCCAGGCCCACCTCCCTGGGCACGCCCTGCTCATGGTGAAAGGGCGGGGAGAGGGGAGCCTTGGCTCTGGCCAGGCCTCCTTGCTGGTCTGGCTGGCTCGTGGTGACGCAGGGCCCTCGGGGGGAACCTGCAGGGTGGGGCACACATCCCTGACACAGAGCCCACCTCGCTGGTCTGCACTTGGTCACTTCTCTTCCTGCTGCTACTCGGCCGGGGACTCGGTTTAAGCAAAGACCCAGCACTGTCCGGCCTTGTTCACCAGGTGCAAACCCAAGGGCTGCGCTGGAAGTTTCTCTGGAGACCGCAGGGGTCCTGACCACAAGAAGCCCGGTGGGTGTCCCTGCGTGGCAGGTGCCGCTCCTGGGCGGTGGGTCCCGGACATGGGGAGGGTGGGGAGGGGGCCCAATGACTTGGGGAGGAGAGAGGCGGGTGGGTCTCGCAAGGGAAGGGGGTGAGGATGGGGGTCAGCCCCAGCTGGGGGCAGGGGAAAGCAGGGGCAGGGGATGGAGGCCAGCTGAGCCGTCTGAAGCTCACGACAGCCCTGCTCCCCGTGGGAGGCACTGCTGGAGGAGAGGAAGCCTGGGGGACTTATCACGGTGTGGTGATGGCTTGATCCTGGGGTCATGGAGCCATCCTCAGGGGAACCCTCCTGGTCCAGTGCTAGTCCAGCTTCCCTTTCACTTGAAGTTCTTTAACTTGTGAGTTTTAAAAGCAGAGCAAGAAAACTTGCGCTTCCCTTTGAGGTAGGCTAACGATCAGACACACGCCCGTGTTTGTCCAGGAAGGGGGTGCGTCTGACCTCCCTTCACCCCCCGGAACTGCCTCTTCGGCCTGCTGTCACAAGGACCCGGTGAGAAGGGGGAGACGGCAGACGGGGCCGCTGTGCCCTTGGAGTGAGGCGGTGTGTGCAGGGCCCACCCAGCGCTCCCCACCTCCTCTGGGAGCCCCCGGTCCCGGGGGCACAGCTCCATGGGCGGTTGGACCTATGGAGACCGGCGTCTTTGCAAATGTCCAAAATTCCCTTCAAAATCCCCCAGGGCCCCCATCAGACTCCTTGATCGTGGCTGAATTAAACTAAGCTCTGACTGTGGACCGGTTAGAAATATGACGGGGGCTTCCCTGGTGGTCCAGTGGCCAGACTCTGCGTTTCCTCTGTAGGACTGCACGTTCCACAGCTGGTGGGACAACTAAGATCCTGTGGAACTGAGATCCATGGCATGACCAATATTTTTTTTAATTAAAAAAAAAAGAAATAGTATGACAGCATTGTTCTACAATTTTATGCCCCAAAGTATTGGCCACTCAAAATAGTTTATATTTTTAAATGAATAGCTTATGACATCATTCGTGTGTTTAGAGCATTTCAGAAAGCTGTTTGTTTTGGAAAGTTCCACATAGTTATTGTAAAAGGTAGAGAAAATAGGATAATTAACTCCCACATACCAAAGATTCCACTTCAGCCACTCCCAACCGGTGATCAATATTATTTTATCCTTATTCCTTCCCATTCCTCTGTCACCTACATTTTTAAAAAAACAAACCACAGACATCATATAATTTTATCTGTATTTCACTATGTTATTCTAAAGATAACTCATTAAAAAATAAGCAAATTCCATTATCATACCTACAAAATTAATAGTAATTTTAACATTAAATACTCAGTATTCAAATTTTCAATTATCTTAAAATGTAAGGTTATTTAAAGTCATTTTTACTGAGGTGCATTTTTTGTATAATAAAATGTACCTATATTAAGGGTGCAGGTAAACTGACAAATGTATACACTCCTGTAACCACCGTCATATCAAAATATAGAATATTTTTGCCACCACAGTAAGCTGCTTCCTACGCTTGCTGTCAACTTCACCTCCTTTTCTATCCTCAGCCCCAGGCTACTTGGCTTTTTTATTTTTTTAATTTCTGTACTGCAAGAAGATCCAACCAGTTCATCCTAAAGGAAATCAGTCCTGAATATTCATTGCAAGGACTGATGCTGACAGTGAAACTCCAATACTTTGGCCGCTTGATGCGAAGAACTGACTCATTGGAAAAAACCCTGATGCTGGGAAAGATTGAAGGCGGCAGGAGGAGGGGATGACAGAGGATGAGATGGCTGGATGACATCACCGACTCAATGGACATGAGTCTGAGTAAACTCTGGGAGTTGGTGATGGACAGGGAGACCTGGCGTGCTGCAGCCCATGGGGTCGCAGAGAGATGGACACGACTTAGCGACTGAACAACAACAAAACGTTTATGTGAATGTAGGAATTATAGGATATATGTTTATATATCTTTTTTTTTTTTCTGGCCACTTAAAACATTTACTGCCAACTATTGGTTCTCAGCAATTTGATTGATGCTCCTCACTGTGGCTTGTCTTTGCCACCTACTCTATCTTTTTCCTGGACTCTGACTGCACACATTTGACTACTTGGTAATTAACCTATGGGTTGCTGAGCTTGTGTGTGTGTGTTTTGTCTTTTTTCCTCTCTATTTGAACATTTTCCATGGCAGTGTCTTCATATTCACTGATCTTTCTTTTGGAATATCTGATCCAATGTTACAGTTAAATTTTTTCAACAGATACTATACTTTTCTTCTCTAGAAGTCCCATTTGATTCTTTTTTTAAAAAATAGTTTTCATCTGTCTCTTCATCATGTGCATGTTTTCCTTTTAGATTTTAAATATACGTATAACAAACTTTTAGGTGTCCTTGTCCGCTGTTTCCAGCCTCTCTATCATTTGTAGATTTGTTTCTTTTGACTGATTTTCCTTCTTGTTATGGGTCAAAATTTGCTGATTTTTTTGCTTGTCTAGTAATTTTTAATTGGATGCAGGACATGAACTTTAGGTCACTGAATGTTTGGATTTTTTTTTAAAGAGTTTTTGAATTTGTTTTGCTTGAAAATTAAGTTACATGTTTCTGATTAACCCTTACCAAATTTATTTATTTATTTAAATTGGAGTCTGTTGCTTTACAACGTCGTGGTCATTTCTTCTGTACAACAGCGTGAATCAGACATGTGTACACATATATCCGCCCCCTCTGAGCCTACCACTCTACCGCCCCCCACCCCCGCAGCCCTCTGGGCCATCGCGGAGCACCAGGCTGAGCTCTGGGCACTGTCCTGCAGCGGCCCCCGGCTGTCTGCACTTGGCAGCGTATGAACGTCAGCGCCACACTCTCGATCTGCCCTGCTCTGCGTCCCACCCTCGTGTCTCTAAGTCTGTGCCAGCTTTGTTCTTAAGCCCTTTTTAGGGTAGCTCTAGACTAGTCTGCAGTCAGTCCCGTCACTATGGTGCACCACTTCTGGCATCTCTGCCTACCGCCCTGGGTGTTCGGGTAGGCATGTCCACTGTGGCTGCTTGGAAGCCGTAGCTCTCCCAGCCCTGCAAAGTCTAGGAACCGTCACAATCACAGTTCTTCAGTTCTCTGTCCAGCCTTGCAGATGCCCCCCGCCACCCCGTGAATGGTCTGAATTTGCCCAGGCTCGAGGGCCCCTGCAGACTTCTGGACGCTTCTGTGCACAGTTCTCTCTGGCACTTGGCCCCTCACACCCCAGCAGACGTGTCCCTCAGCACAGACGGGGACTTCCTCTGCTGCTCCTGTCCTTTTACTGTTGTTTTAAATTTACTTTAAGGCAAAAATCAAGGATGATTGTAATCTCTGGGATCAGCATCATACTGTTTGATACCTTATGTCTAAAAACATTTTTATTTGTATTTTTCCCAATTTTCTATTTGTTCAGCAGAGAAAAATAGTCTATTCTGGTTTCGCCTTCATAGCCAGGAATATAAGCCATGACTTTAAGACACAGTTTATGTACTTGAATTGGGATTCAGATAAAGTTCACACAGTTTGATTGGTTCATGTGTCTTTTAGCCTTTTTCAATGATTAAGTCCATCCTTCACCTTCCTTGATGTCTCTTTTTCCTGCCACTTTCTTTTGTTGAAACACTGGCAATGTTTGTATGTTGAGTTTCACACATCATTTTGGATTTCCTTGACTGTGTTCCCAGGGTGTTTTAACCTGTTCCTCTGTACATGTTCCCTGGTAGCTGGTCACTGGATTGAGAGACTCGATCAGATTCAGATTAGGTTTTTTCAAGACAACTTTAAAGATGTTGGTTGCTTTTCCATCACAAGGCACATGCCTTTTTGTTGTGTTTGCAGTCACTGATGCTCAGTATCTAGACCAAAGCCTTTCATTTAATTTGCTGAGTTATCACAGAGCCTGGG